GGTGGTTGGTTTAATCACGGCTGGAAGGGGGAGGCGGCCTATAGGAAGGATGTTGAGCAGTTGGGGGAGGGGTGCAGGAAAAACAACTTCCTCCTTAGCTGAAAGAAAACAAGAGAGATTGACTTCCGGGGTGGCGCCATCGGCAATGGCGGACTCCCTCTGAACTGGAGGGACAAGCTCCGCGCGAAACGGGTCCTTTCTGCTATGGCGAAGCGGGGACCCTTTAAAAAATCACAGGCGGATGAAGCCTGTGACCATGGGACTCGGCGGGCACCTTTAGCGCCCCCCCAACCCGCAAAGGAACCCACTAACAGTCTCTGAAGCGATGGGGGGAAGTGGCGCGGTGCTGTGAGTCAATTGCTCTTTCCGTGGAGCAAAGCCGCATAGCCGTTGCTGGAGAGCGCTGCCTTCTTCTTGGGACAATTTGGCTTCTAAAAATAATCACCCGTGAGTACTTAAACTTTGAACAATTGGACTTTAAATAAGGAATTGGGAACAGAAAGGAATCGGCCTTTAAAATTTACTTCAATTTGGTACTGAAACGGGAAGGTCTAAACAGGAAGTCAGCCTTCCGTTTCTTTGTAGACTGAACAAAGCAAAGACAAAATAAACTAGAGCTTTGAAAATCACCATTAAAGGATTGGATTTCATCATCTAAAATAGTTGAACCCCCCCCCCTTCGGCAGCAGGAGGAGAAGGGGGAGCTTTTCTTTGGACTGTCTAAACCTGCAGAAGTAAGTTTAAAGTAAAGTAACTTTCCACCGTCCTGACCCTGGAGCGGGGTGTCAGGACTGACGTTTGAAGCTCATTGACCAGAGACAGAAGTCTTTTGACAGATAGCTAAAAGAAGAGAAACATTGTGATTCCACTGTTTCCTTTCGCATTTTAAAGGATCAAATATTGACAAAGTATCTCAAAAAAAAAAAAAAAAGAAACTTTGTGGTTGGATTTGCAATAGAAGTTTTCCCCCTAGAGGGAGACTGTGAAATTGTAACTATTTCCAGGGAGCTTCCAGCCGCTACAGATTATTACCGTGTGAATTGACTGGTGACCTTGAAGGACAATGCATTCAGAAGTGCTGTTGTGTGCTTTTTACAAAACAAATGCCCTACTGGAAGAATTACATGAGAGAACGAATTTGATGACTGACTTGGTTGGAAATCTTAAGCAGGCAGTGGGAAATTTTGGACAGGCAGTGGGAAAAGGTATGGAGCCTACCCAGGAATGAAACCAGGAGTGTGCCTTGACGGAACAGACAAAAGAAGAGGATGCTGCTGAATCTTGGGAGCCAGAGATGGAGGAAGTTGCGGCCCTGCAGGAACATGAGCCTTTGGACTTGACAATTGATCTTCTAAAAAATCAGACTCGGAAAGATAAAGTTTGGACTAGTTTGGAAATGGGGGGTTGGATTGACCCCCCTGAGCAGGGATGTATGGACTTTCTGAGTCTGGCAATGGGCCGTGAGAGGTTTGGAGATATGGGGGCTCTCAATTTTGGAGGGATTTTGAAATATGCTTTTAAATACTACATGGAGCTCAGCCTGGACTGTGGAAAAGGGACTGATTTGTTGAAAAGGGACAAAAGCATTATTAAGCTGGAGTTCACACAAGTGAAAGGAGAATATGCAGAAAAATCGTGGAAGGGACATGGAAGAGACTTAAGGGCCTCGGATATAAGGTTACCAGGTTAATGTGCTAGTTCAGTGGGATAAAATGGACTGACAAAACCCAGGACCAGGAGGAAGGGACGCTGGATGAAGATTGGATTGTTTTATTTCTTTTATTTTGTTATTAGGATTGTTTTATATAATTGATGAATGTTAGAAGGATGTTTGAAATGAAATTGCTTGGCTTTAGTAATAAATGTTTAAAGGATTAGGAAAGAATACAATGGTTATGAGAAGTTAGTAAAAATAAGATTTAAGTTTTGAATTTTAAGGTTTTTATAAGATAATGATGAAAATAGATCAAGGTAATGCAATGAAAGATTAGGATAAATAAAGTGGGAAAGGATTTGCTGAATTAACAAATTGAATTGGAATACAAAAAAGGGAGGTGTGAGGAAGTCCGGGAAACAAGCAAATGAAAGTAACATTTTGAAAATTTTAATAAATATCTATGGAAAAAAAGAAAAGAAAACAAGAGAGATTATTGTGGACTTTAGGAAATGTAAATTGAATATTCAGCCACTCATTATTGAGGGGAAGTGTGTGTAATGTCACACTTGCAATCGCCTCCACGGTCCAGGGACTGATCTGCCCTGGCTTCGTCCTCGGAGGTCCCTTCAGAAGGAGAAGGGGTCCCAGGTCTCCATGGGGGAAAGCGTTCCTGAGGCCTGCGTTCGAGGCCAATGCTTTCGCCTTTCAGGTCCCAGCCCACCTTCTCTCTGGTGTTTTTGTCAGCTGTAGAGATGGGATCACATGCAGACATTCCCAAGTTTAATAAGGATCCCTTGAAAAAGCTGAGAAACCTTCTTCTTTTGCCAATGAACTTTGCCTCTGCGTGATTTATTGGGAACCAGATGCATCCACTCCAAAGAAGCTTCTGCAGCGCCTTGGCATTGAAGACCCAGAAAAAGAGACGGAGGGGAATGTGTGGGTCAGAAGGTGGGAGTCGTTGGAAAGGAGTCGCTGGGAGAGGCAGAAGGTTGTGTTGAGCAGGCGAGGGAAGAGCAGGAAGAGAAAGAGCCCCAGGGAAAGAGGAGGTTGGGCTGAGCTGGTGTGGGAATGAGAGGCAGAGAATGCAAAGCAACTCCGGAAACGGTGAACAAGGCAAGCTATGATCTCGTTTGAGGAAAGGGAATTAAGATGCCTGCTTCCCCATCCCCAGTGGATTAAAATGTCCAAAGATTAGGAAAAGAAGAAAGAAGAGGAAGCAGGATTGGATGGACATTATAAGAGACCAGAATTTTCCATTGTGACTTGGCTGAGATTTGTTGGAACAGTTTTTAAAAGGCTTTATAGAAACTGGACCTAGAAACTGGAGAAATACTAATTTGGATTGTTAGACGATCCTTATAAGAGTCATATTGCACTGTCTGAGTTGGTTAAGATTTGGTTAAGAGGGAAATGAAGGGAAAGTGTCATCTTGGTGAAGAGGAGAAGAAGAAGAAGAGTTTGGATTTAATATCCTGCTTTATCACTACCCAAAGGAGTCTCAAAGCGGCTAACATTCTCCTTTCCCTTCCTCCCCCACAACAAACACTCTGTGAGGTGAGTGGGGCTGAGAGACTTCAGAGAAGTGTGACTGGCCCAAGGTCACCCAGCAGCTGCATGTGGAGGAGCGGAGACGCGAACCCGGTTCCCCAGATTACGAGTCCACTGCTCTTAACCACTACACCACACTGGCTCTCAAGGCAGCCCTGTTTAGGGAAGCTTTTAATATTTAATATTTGATGGATTACTGTATTTTACTATTTTGTTGGAAGCTGCCCAGAGTGACTGGGGAAACCCAGCCAGATGGGAAGGGTATCAATAAATCATCATCATCATCTACTTTTTTGTATTTTTTATATTTTACATTAAGATTCCTTTATTTTTAATTTAGGAGGACACACATAAGGAGACGACAGTTGGAGGTGCGAGGGACCTGCAAGGAACGCAGGGAAGGAAGGATCTCTCAGGGTGGGATACGGGGAGAAGAGGGGGTAACGCAGGGGAGAAGTGGGGGAGCCTGCCTTTCTATGGGTTGACGAATGATATGATATATATGATACAAATGTCATAAACAGTATTTTTAGTTTATATCCCCCCCTTTTCTCTTTTCTATACAATTGTATTTCGTAAGCGTTGTCTAATATTTTTTGTTTTATTTCTCTTTTTTGGTTTCTCCTCTGCATGAATTCTTCGATGGGAAGTGAGACTGGAGTTATTAGTGAAGCTCTTCCCACATTCCAAGCAGTGATAGGGTTTCTCCCCTGTATGAATTCTGTGATGGGAAGTGAGACTGGAGCTATAAGTGAACCTCTTTCCACATTCGAAGCAGTGATAGGGTTTCTCACCTGTATGAATTCTTTGATGCAAAGTGAGACTGTTCTTCCAACTGAAGCTCTTTCCGCATTCGAAGCACTGATAGTGTTTCTCCCCTGTATGGATTCTTTGATGCAAAGTGAGCTTCATCCGCTCCCGGAAGTTCTTCCCGCATTCAAAGCACTGAAAGGGTTTCTCTCCTGTATGAATTCTTTGATGGACAGTGAGATGGGAGCTCTGACTGAAGCTCTTTCCACATTCCAAGCACTGATAGGGTTTCTCCCCTGTATGACTTCTTTGATGCAAAGTGAGATGGCAGCTCCTTCTGAAGCTCTTTCCACATTCCAAGCACTGATAGGGTTTCTCCCCTTTATGAGTTTTTTGATGGGAAGTGAGATTCACCATCTGACTGAAGCTCTTTCCACATTCCAAGCAGTGATAAGGTTTCTGCCGTCTATGAATTCTTTGATGGGAAGTGAGATTGTTCCTGAGACTAAAGCTCTTCCCACATTCCAAGCACTGATAGGGTTTCTCCCCTGTATGGATTCTTCTATGCAAAGCAAGATAACCTTTCTGACGAAAGCTCTTTCCACATTCCAAGCATTGATAGGGTTTCTCCCCTGTATGAATTCTTTGGTGGAAAGTGAGTTCACCACTCACACGAAAGCTCTTCCCACATTCGAAGCACTGATAGGGTTTCTCCCCTGTATGGATTCTATGATGGCAAGTGAGATGGGAACTATTAGTGAAGCTCTTTCCACATTCCAAGCACTGATAGGGTTTCTCCCCTGTATGAATTCTGTGATGGGAAGTGAGACTATCCTTCCGATTGAAGCTCTTTCCACATTCCAAGCACTGATAGGGTTTCTCCCCTGTATGAGTTCTTTGATGCAAAGTGAGAGCATTACTGTGCTTGAAGCTCTTTCCACATTCCAAGCACTGATAGGGTTTCTCCCCTGTATGGATTCTATGATGGCAAGTGAGATGGGAACTATTAGTGAAGCTCTTTCCACATTCCAAGCACTGATAGGGTTTCTCCCCTGTATGAATTCTGTGATGGGAAGTGAGACTATCCTTCCGATTGAAGCTCTTCCCGCATTCGAAGCACTGATAGGGTTTTTCTCCGGTATGAGTTCTTTGATGCAAAGTGAGAGCATTACTGTGCTTGAAGCTCTTTCCACATTCCAAGCACTGATAGGGTTTTTCTCCTGTATGAATTCTTTGATGGGAAGTGAGACTGTGCCTCTGACTGAAGCTCTTCCCACACTGCAAGCACTGATAGGGTTTCTCCCCGGTATGAATTCTTTGATGCAAAGTGAGATTCCGGCGGTTACCGAAGCTCTTTCCATATTCTCTGCACTGATACAATTTCTCCCTACTCTTTGTTCTTACGTGTGAAGTGAGGCTATCCCTCTGAACGAAGCTCTTTCTTTGACGGGAGGTGGAATGGGAGCTCTGACGGATGTTCTCTCCACACTCTGAATACTTATATGACTTCTCCGCTATATGGATTCTGTTGTGCTCCCCCTTGTTCTTCCCTTCTAATTCCTCACCATCTGCAATGAAGAGAGCAGCAAATTAGAGCCTCAGGAAGAAATGGAGCTTCAGATCATTGAACCAAGTTAATTAATGCTTGTGATAGAGGAAGAACTAAAAATAGTTAGATGTGGGGCCTCTCTATAGTTTTCACTGCCTTTGTTGGCCGGTATTTACTGACATATTGCTTGGCTTTTATCTGGAATGGATTTTGTTCTGGCTCAATCCTGGAATTCACTCCATCTCCAAGGTCACTCATCTCTTTGGTCAATCAAATGCAGACAGAAGCAAAAACAACACGCCTGACAGAATTTACATCAACTTCCCTTAAAAACTCTGAAGCCGGCATTTAAGAAGGACTGGGTGGTTCAGAGAAGCCTGGTCACTGTTTTAAAAGGCATGACTAGACGCAGAACATTCACAGAGGAAACAGTTGATATCCCTCCATTCTGGGTTCACGGTGGGGGGTATTAGAATCCCAGATGCTGTTGGTCTCCAGACAAAGAGTTGAAGTTCATCACATGCAGGTATGTATGGAACGTCCATGTCTCGTCTGTGAAACAAACAGCAACACCTTCACCTGAACACTCCCCATCAGCTGTTGCCTCAATCTGGTTGGTCTAAATTTAAATTTATACGTAAAGCACTTTCTTCACTTTGAACCCCCCTCCCATGTCCATGAGGAGACTATTGTTTCGTTAGCAACAGAAGAGGAAAAGTGACTATAACTCAGTTCAAACCAATTCATGAACCCAGATATATATAGATATATAGCTATTCCTGCAAATTTATTCTGCTATTTCTGATATGCAAATGGCACACGAAGACTTAGTCTACATATCAGTATCATTTATTAGTCCTATGATCCTTGTTTTTAAAAGCAAATAAGAAGTTATTCCAAAAAGGAAAAGACAACACACAGAGGCCCCATCTCCATTCAAACTGCAAAGCAGGATCAGTGAGTTGTCTGACATTGGCAGGGCATTCAGATCACAGAACTGGTTTTAGACCTTTTGAGCTGTGGTGGCCGGGGAGCTGTGATCTATTCCTAGCTCAAATTGCCTGCAGATGACAAAGGAGCATGCAGGCAGCCTGCCTCCCCCCACCCCCAAGCTGAGCAAGCCCCAATTCCTCTCTGGCTCCATCCCTCCACGTCCCCACGTCCGGACACGGGTTAGAGCTCAATGTCGAGCCTACCAAGTGGCGATAGCGACGGCGAAGAAGACTTTCTTCACCCCCTCTATTGCATCTGCGGAAAACAGCAGCAGGAGACTCTTTCAGGTGGTTCGCAATTTAGCGGAACCACCTGCTCCATCAGGGCCCAGTAGGGGCCACATTATCTGCAATGACCTTGCAAAGTTTTTTGCAGATAAAGTCGCTCAGATTCGAGAAGAGGTAGACTCCACCGTGGGAGCAGGGCCGGGGCAGGAGAGTGCTAGAGTCCTGTCTAGTCAAATTGTGTGGGATCAATTCCAATCTGTTACCTCCGAGGATGTGGACAGGCTGCTTGGACAAGTGAAACCAACCACTTGGCTCCTTGATCCCTGCCCATCCTGGCTTCTAAAAGCTAGCTGGGAAGGGCTGGGTGATGGGCTCCGTGGGGTAGTGAATGCTTCCCTCCGTGAGGGAGCCTTCCCAGACCCGCTGAAAGAGGCGGTTATTAAACCGCTTCTTAAAAAACCATCTTTAGATGCGGCCACAATGGCCAACTATTGCCCAGTCTCAAATCTTCCATTCTTGGGCAAGGTGATTGAGCGAGTGGTTGCTGAACAACTCCAGGCACGCCTGGAAGAAGCGGACCATTTGGATCCCTTCCAGTCGGGATTCAGGCCTCATCATAGGACTGAAACTGCCTTGGTCACACTGGTTGATGAACTCCGGAGGGCTAGGGACAAAGGTGAGAGCTATTTCCTAGTTCTGCTGGATCTCTCAGCGGCGTTTGATACCATCGACCATAACATCCTTCTGGACCGTCTTGAGGGGCTGGGAGCTGGGGGCACTGTCACACAGTGGTTCCGCTCCTTCCTCCTGGGCCGTGTTCAGAAAGTGGTGGGGGATGAGTGTTCAGACCCCTGGGCTCTCACTTGTGGGGTGCCTCAGGGTTCTGTCCTCTCCCCCATGCTTTTCAACATTTACATGCAGCCGCTGGGAGAGATCATCAGGGGATTTGGGCTGGGTGTTCATCAGTATGCGGATGATACCCAGCTCTACCTCTATTTCAAATCAGAACCAGTGAAGGCAGTGAAGGTCCTGTGTGAGTGTCTGGAGGCGGTTGGAGGATGGATGGCGGCTAACAGATTGAGGTCGAATCCTGACAAGACAGAAGTACTGTTTTTGGGGGACAGGAGGCGGGCAGGTGTGGAGGATTCCCTGGTCCTGAATGGGGTAACTGTGCCCCTGAAGGACCAGGTGCGCAGCCTGGGAGTCATTTTGGACTCACAGGTGTCCATGGGGGCACAGGTCAAATCCGTGTCCAGGGCAGCTGTTTACCAGCTCCATCTGGTACGCAGGCTGAGACCCTATCTGCCTGTGGACTGCCTCGCCAGAGTGGTGCATGCTCTGGTTATCTCCCGCTTGGATTACTGCAACGCGCTCTACGTGGGGCTACCTTTGAAGGTGACCCGGAAACTACAACTAATCCAGAACGTGGCAGCTAGACTGGTGACTGGGAGCGGCCGCAGAGACCACATAACACCGGTCTTGAAAGACCTACATTGGCTCCCAGTACGTTTCCGAGCACAATTCAAAGTGTTGCTGCTGACCTTTAAAGCCCTAAACGGCCTTGGTCCAGTATATCTGAAGGAGCGCCTCCACCCCCATCGTTCAGCCCGGACACTGAGATCCAGCGCCGAGGGCCTTCTGGCGGTTCCCTCACTGCGAGAAGCCAAGTTACAGGGAACCAGGCAGAGGGCCTTCTCGGTGGTGGCACCCGCCCTGTTGAACACCCTCCCACCAGATGTCAAAGAGAACAACAACTACCAGGGTTTTAGAAGACATCTGAAGGCAGCCCTGTTTAGGGAAGCTTTTAATGTTTGATGTATTATAGTATTTTAATATTCTTTTGGAAGCCGCCCAGAGTGGCTGGGGAAGCCCAGCCAGATGGGCGGGGTATAAATAATAAATAATTATTATTATTATTATTATTATTATTATTATTATTATTATTATTATTATTATCATCATCATCATCATCATCATCATCTCCCCTCCCCTGGGACTCACCAGATCTCTCGGAGGTCCCTGGGAGGGAACGCTCAGAGGTTGTGGGGAGGGATGCAGGAGACAACCTGACCAGGTCAACCGTCCATCTTCCCCCTTCCATCCTTGCTAGGTTTGCAGGATCCGTCTCTTTCATCCTTCCTGAGGAGTTGAGGAGCCAAAACAAGCTAGAGGGTCCTGGGAGAGAGGAAGAAGGAAAGGGAGCCTCAGAGGCCCTGCAGGGATTTTCTGGCTGGAGGGGAAGCCTCCCAATATGTTGGGGGCCCCACCCACAGCAAAATCCCTGCTTTATCTCATTTCTGGCCAGAGAACTTTCCCTCTTCACCCTCCATCCCTCCATGTTCCCATCTCCCCTCCCCTGGAACTCACCAGATCTCTCGGAGGTTCCTGGGAAGGAGCGCTCAAAAGTTGTGGGGAGGGATGCAGGAGACAACCTGACCAGGTCTACCGTCCATCTTCCCCCTTCCATCCTCACTAGGTTTGCAGAATCCATCCCTTTTATCTTTCCCAAGGAGTCAAGGGGCCAAAAGAAGCTACAGGGTCCTGGGAGAGAGGAAGAAGGAAAGGGAGCCTCAGAGGCCCTGCAGGGATTCTCCTGCCCCTGGAGAAGCACAAATGGGGCGGCCCCTTCCCAACAGAAGCCCCATTTCTATACCTCTCCAGTGGTGCCAATAAATCAGGTAGGCTACTTGTGTGGCAATTGAAGAAGAAAAAAAAGAGAGAGTAATTGAGAAATGAAAACTAATTGAAGATCCTAAAGAAATATGCCAAAAAAAATTCAATTACTATGGGAAATTTTACCATGAAGAAGAAGAAGATGAAGAGGAAATGGAAAGATACATAGCACAAAATAGACTCCCGACAATAGCAGATTAGAAAATAGAACTAAATCTACCAACAGCGATGATGGAGGTGCAGCAGTCAATCTCAAAAGCAAAGATAGGAAAGTCCCCAGGTAAGGATGGATTATCGGCGGCATTTTATAAGAAGTTAGAAGATATATTATCAGAACCAATGAAACAGTACTGAACGGAATTTTAAAGGAAGGAAGAATACCAAAATCATGGGAAGAAGCACTTATCAAACTGAGACCCAAACAAGGAGCAGATCCAACACTAATCAAAAATTATAGACCTATATCATTGTTCAATAATGATTATAAAATATATTGAACGAAATAATACACATAGATCAAGCTGGCTTCTTACCAAGCAGACACATGCACAATAAAATGAGAAACATAATTGATATTTTCCCCTTCATGGATCACTGCCTTGTTGTGACGAAGGGGCTTGAATAACTCAGAGACGCTAT